ATTATGCATACGAATGTACTGGTGATGAAGACGGAAAAAGTAGATCATTTTCAAGTCAAATTGAGGCGATAGAAGTGTGCTTTGTGCATTAATGTGAATAATCTAGCCTACAGGAATATCCAATCTCAAAGCACTTTAGAGGTATAAAGTTTGATATATCCGTGTTGGACTACATGCCTTCGGTTTAAAACAAACCCACGGGTAAAACCTAGAGCTTGCGGTCTCAAAATCGGCTAGCATGGTTGCACAAAACACGAAAAACTACGAAAACAATCAGAATTTCTAGTCCACACGTGTTAAGAGCACGACAGACACTCGTAATCCCGCATCTGTTACAGAGTTGTATTAACAACGTAATTATCATTGAACGAATCAGCTTTACCCCTTGGCCAAAGAGATATTGATTTATAATCTTACAAATTAGGAAATTATGACGGCTGGCTAAATGCCGAGTTAAATATAAGCGGAGCACAGTCCAGTCAGGTTGATCTAAGCTTAGCTTTTAGGGCATTATGTGGCAGGAGGATTATTCCACAACGAAACTTTACCTATTTTTTTACTGTTAACTGTGCAAGCAATTTCGGAAACCGAATTTTTCGACAAACGTTTAGTGAGTTGGATTCTTCTCGACGGTCGTTATTTGTTAGTGTGTCCCGTTTGCAAGCAAATGTGGTTCTTTTCTAACTTATCATCAACCCATCATTTACGGTGTTTCTTTGTGCTAGATGATCCACAGAGCGTCTACCTACATGTGTAACCTGTAGCCTAGCAGTCCTCCCTCATTGGCCCAATCAATCACGCCCTCCTTAACGAACCATTGAATGATTGACAGGTGTTAACTGTGGAATGTTTACATCCAACAATCAGTGAACTGTTGTAGCCTTGACATCAAAAATATATCATTACCGTTCATTAGAAGATACTGGATTTCACTGGAGGCAGCTGACCGTAGTCACCAGAAAACCTCTTGGGACCGAGCGAGGCGGTGTCTACCGCCTGCTTCATGTAGCTGGTACAGACGGAAAAAATCGGACACCGCCAAGAACGCTAATTTAAGTTGGGCTGTGCATCATGCGTTTCGAATCGACCGTCACACCAAAAAGAACTTAGGAACTTCCGTTAGGTTTTTGCCAAGGAAATAACTCCGTCCATTTTTGTCTCATTTGTGAGTTCCCTTTATCGTGAGCATGGGCGCACACACACTTCCACTTCCCACGATTTTGTGCACCGCAATAGCGCCCAGAAAACAAACAACTGACTTTAATGCATATTGTATAACTGAAAGCTAATTGAAGAAAAGTGGAAGTAAGAAACATCGGGTAGAAAATCCATGCAATGGAAATTTACTTTACTCCTGAAACCGGGAAACCTTAGTTGATCGATTCATTCAAAGCATGCGAGAACCTCTATTTATATAAATAGTTTCAACGCTTGTTGCAGCTGAAACATGCACAGTTAAGGGGACAAACACGCAAATCACCGTTAGAAATTAAACATTCAAGTTCTAATGCGAAAACGTGCACAGTGCAAATATATCATGAGGACCAGCTTGGACGAAACAGCCTGCTCACTTGGTTTTACAGACGGACGTCCGGCCAGAAATGCACAGCGCCAAGTCCCTCAGGATTATATGATGGAAAATAAGATCAGATTATCACAGCTAGACTTTCCAGCTACTTCACTTGCATGGACTATTCGTAAACCACGGGCGTTCCTTTTAGGACTTGGATTACACACCAAAATTGGTTTGCGCATTCACTGTTTATCGCGGTTGTAGGACCGTTCAAACCGACACCCTCCAAAAATTTTATTTAAAGAAAATCCCGGCTATCTCCTTTTTAGTTATATGGTCTTATGGATCAGGGAAGTGTTCAGCAGCGATTTCTACAACCCTATATTCTGCGAAGCACCCTTTATGTATCGTGAGAACAGTGACCTTGGAAGGTGGCAGAGAACACAAAATTCAGTCACAATCCCCAATCTTAACAGTCTTTTTCTTGCATGCTGATGCCGAGTTGCACAACTTTGTGGGAAAGCTCGCATAACTCACATCAACGCTGGAAACCCTGATTGGTAGCCCACGCTACACAACGGATTTTAAACATATAGCGAGTGAAACCGAACTTTTCTCATAGAGCGCCCTCTAACAAGGAGCACGACGATTATAGAAACTCTCCATTCCATTCTTGGATTAGGCTAGGTTGTTCCTGTTAGAAGTTTCCCTGTCTCCCGGGAGAGAGAACAACCATGTTGTCATAATTTGTGACTGGACACTGTCAAGCAGCCTCAGGAACGCTGTTCTCCTGGGGGAGCAATTTAACCTTTAACGAATATTCACATACTGCTACAAAATTGAGTTTGCAGGTAGTGCATATGGAAAACACCTCACAAAGCACTGCAGTTACATACTAGTATCCGGAATTTTTGCTGTTGTAGTGTCTTCATTGCGTGCCAAATTACACTTTATTCAATGCGTTGATCAGTTGGACCACCAAACGTTCACCAGCATTCGCATGATTAAAGTGATATGAGTGGCAGTTGGCCAAGGTAAGGATACAATGTCACGGAAAGCCATCAAAATTGGATGGTGCTACCGATAAAACATTTCATTTATTGACCTACATCATGCATTGTAGATTTTCATCTGATGCACTGCATGGCTCCGCTAAGAGTTATTTACTAGCAGAATTTTTAACACTGACTTATTCTCCGGTAACGGTTTGTCTGATTGCCGACTAGTAGCCGGTTTGGAAGCACATACTGGTACTCTGTAGACAAAACCCGGTTGGAATTTGTCACACAGAGAGCTTGTTTAATTACGGTTTTCTCTGGATACATAATCCAATGGAGCATACATGAGAGTTTACATATACTTCACCAAAGCTTTCGAGACATAAGTGAAACTGCCAAATATGCACTAATTATTCTTGGATTTGGAGCCCATCGTTCTGGTTGGATCGTTTTGTAGATGAAGTAACCGGTTCCGCAGTCGTCTTCCACTGAGCAAATAAAAGAATGTCAACACAGTAGTATCACAGCCATGTTGCAGCATATGCGTATTTCATTCATTTTAGTGTAGTGTGTGCTATGTCTTCTTAACCACTCAGTGAAATGGCATTGTGTTTGCAGAAACTTATAGAGCAGTCTAACTGTCTATTAGGTTCCCTGTATCTGTTTATCCATACAACAGGTGCAAATAATTCTCGGTTGCTTGTTTCAACCGTACCGAAATCACTGATATCCCCCTTGGTTCTGCATAGGCAGCTGACTGACAGAACTGAGTTTCAAAATAATTTTAAAGACGCTTAAAAAACAGCGTGTATTTCAAACATATCCATACAGCCATGTGGAACTTCTATCCATTAGTTGTCCACCTAATGTGATTGATGTTATGACCGTGATCAACTGTCCGAGAATAACTAACAAAATTTTGGAATCAAATCTCAATCAAGAGTTTATTATCAAAGGGACGCACACACTCATGTTTAATGAACTGCCTAAAGTGAGGACGCAGTACTCCGTAATTAGAACTATTCTACTGCTCCAAATAAACATGCTTTGCGCGATATCACGTCCATACCTGCGTTTAAAACGGTAACAGCTTCGCAGATTGTGTGTGTGTGTGTGCATGGGGTTGTCCACAATGAGCACCAGGAAAACACAAACGAATCGTTTGTCTTCGACTGAATAGTTTCCTTCACTTTACCTGTGTGTGAATCAACCAACGGACGCCTTTGCTAATCAGTATGATTTACCTGAGTTCTAACCCAACAGCGAAAGTGAAATGGCCCAATTTTCTCCCTCCAAGCATGCAGAAAATGGCGCCACATGTCGTCACATTTCTCCGTCCACGTGTGATGGACAATTAATCAACCACAACAACTTTGACCATTGAGGCTGCACATGTTCGGTTGATTAGATACATTATGAACCCATTGTGAGTCAAACTGGGTGGATGGCGCTCCATCTGGCAGGTGTTTTGCTCACCTGTGCGATGGATAACCACCGGAATTCGACACGAACATTCATGTGCTTCCCTATCTGAGTTGCAACACAAGTTCGTCTTCTATCGACGAAAAGTCAACTATGGATGTCCCTTTCGTTTTCAATGCCTTTGCTCCAGCGAACTGCTGACCCATGTAATTTACTTGTAAGTATAACTTGATTAAATCCTGCTAGGTATGTGATACATACAGGGTGGTGTGTAAAAAGATTATCGAAAATCCGTCAACTGATCCTCTCACCGGCTCTTCTGGGTGTCTTTTTCATTTTCTAGGAAATTTAGGAAAAGAACTAAGCAAGACTAAATTTTTTGAAATTTTTTAAATCGAAGAAAAACAAAAGTTATCTAGCCTTTTTATGTTACAATATATCAGTGATATATATATATATATATATATATATATCANATACGACTCTTTTCAGTGTAAGATCCCAATTTGGACGAGCTGTATTCAACACTGAAATTTGAAGGACATAAAAACAGTTTGAAGGCGCAACCTTCACACTGTAAAACGCAGCTTGTTTGACAGAGTTTGCACATTACTTTCACTTAGTTAACAGTCAAATGAATATACACAATAGTTCCACTGTATCGGAGTATATTCTTTGATATATATACATATATATATATATATATATCAGTGATATCAGTGATATATGTCATTACCTGTTTGGTTCACACTAGTTCCGCGAGACTCAATTTTTTGGACTGCCGGAATTCCGCAGTCATATACTGAGATAATGCATGAGCTTGGAATGAGGTGTCATAACTGGAAAGCAAGCAGCAATCCTACAAAGTCATCTCAACCGAGCACTTGTACCTGGAAAACGCGCCTGCACAATCAGAGTTAGCTACCAACAGGGAAGCACAAAGTCCATCATAGTTTTGTATCTTTCTGTGACAGGAGCATTATCTTAACGTGAAAAGAATCACTCGTTTTTGGAAAACACGCACTTTAAAATATTTCATAGTGAAGAATTTTTCTTGAGTCACCCGTTTACGGGTTCAGTGCAGCGGCATCAAATCGAGCATCTGAAGAAAAAGCGGAATGAAATGGAGTTTTAATCACCTGGTTCTTACAGAATGGTCGAATAATCTGACCACTGAGGCAAGCCGATCTCTGTGGCAGCTCACTGTTGGTGCGCAGCCATTTAGCGTTTGGATTTTCCGGTTATCGATTTATACTCGGCTAGGACAGTGAAAATACTTCAGAATAAATGCTTTTCTAGTATATACCCGGATTGCACAGATGCAAAGAGACTTCCTTAAATTTATTTTTTCGCTATCTTTGGTTCTGTAGCCAGTTATTTTTTATGCAATCCACAAATTTGATCACAGTCTACTACGGTGGTCTGAAAACACCAGGGGTTCCAGGTTTGAAACTCTCCTCTCAGCCACCGCCTTTATTACCAAATGCCTCGTGGTTTGAGCGACGTATCATCATCTACACTGGGACTAAAAATAATATAATAAACACCGAGTTCTAACAGCCTTTTGGCACCTAGCTACAATGACATCTGAATAAAGAACAACTACTGAGCTACTAGATGCACAAGCATAGACAGGAACAGCCGATTACCGAAGTTGGGTTCGGTCCAAAGCTCTTCCAGTCAATAATTTCTCGCCCTAATCACTGAGCTGATAAATATATAATTGATTTCATCGGGAGCAGCTGTTCTTTGAAGAGATGGCTGACTGAATTTTTTCCCAATGTGGCCTATGTGAAAGCTTTGAGAAGGATAATGCATAAGTCATGTAACCCATGTCGCGCATACATTTTTCGCCATACCTCTACCCAGATACAAACTTTCAGATATGAAACCCAACATTTCCACCATAAATTTCGGTCGATGACTATAGCGAGATTTGCAATTTTCTGTCAAAAATTTGCCTAAACTATATCTTCTGCTTAATGAAATTGCTCCGGAAACGTGTATACACTGGCCTATTCAGGCCGACTTCTGATAAGTAGTCAGAGGTACCCGAGAATATGATGGGGTTACCTTTTTGAAATTCACTTGTCAACAGGACGCCTGGATGAGGAGTTTAAAATTAATTGTGTTTGCGTTTCATAACTTGACTTAAACTGTTCTAGTTTCAAGCCAGAAGCAGGATTTTAACCCCGCGTTTGTGTCACAAGATTTGCAAATAATCCCTCGCGTTCTAGCAGACGGATAGTGGTTTATCCTGCGCAGAACTTTTTTTACCGAAATTCAGTATCCCATTCAATCCCGGTCGAGATCCAGAATGGATGGGTCATCCAGATGTATAGCGAGATTTACACTGAAGATTATTTGTTGCTTTTCTGTTCTTGAAGTGTTGAATCAGAATTCGCTTTTGCCCTTTTCGAGTTTCCTAGCACTATTAAGAGTAGTGAGATTAGGAATGAGCACGGTTTTTTAATCGCTTACATCCTCGAATATTGGCAGTTTATGATAGAGGTTTCGGATGCCTATGTAGAGAGACAAAAGTCTAGCCCTGTATCATCGTAGCTAAATGTGGCCACTTGAATAGTTAATTTATCAAACTATGTAATCATGCAAACCAGACTTCACTTTGCGTAGGAAAATTCTGTCGATATTGCAGCGACATATTGCCCGGATATCAATAATGGGTTATTAAATCCTCACAATTTGTCACGACACTCTTAACCATGTTTTTGATTTTGCGACCCCATAAACAATAACTCGCAACGGCTAAAATCTCAAGCACCTACAGACTGCTTGTCCGGATTTCCGGAATTGAAGACCCACTTGAGCGCTAGGGGTAAATCGTAAGCTGAATGGCGAAGGCGAATCACGTTCTTAGCTTTTTTATGGTTGTTTGTCTGAACACCGTGACTAGTTGATTTACTATACTGAATCTTCATGAGGCCTACCTCGTCAACAAATTATACTACTCTACAGTGTACGATATCGCCCTATCCCAGCTGTTTATGTCCCGACTCTTGTGGAATTACGAAGTAATTAACATTTACGTAAACCCAGGCGAAAATACGACACATTGGTCTCAGTAAGAACGAGGGTAAGTTAAAGTCTTCTCTGGTTGAAACCTGCTATTTCTATATGTCCTCGCAGAACATTTCAGTGTTAATGAACTTTCTGGGCTTACCTAGTGAGCACTTGACGGTACCCACTGGTTCTTCTTACTTAATTCCGTGATTCTCAGTCGGAATGACTATGCTATTTAACAACAGCTTCACATAATCTATTCATCACTAGCAATCACAAGAACATGGCTTGAAAGTACCTATAAGAAAATGATCAAAATTAATCAGGGAAGCAATTAAACCATATCACCAAGGTCTCCGTTGACCTTGTCACGCTATACAACTTTTGATTTTAATTTATTGGCCATGAGACTTTACGTCATACCTTTCAAGTAATCACTCGAATCAAGCTGAATGTTCGCTTCCTCGACAAGCATTTTGCAGTTTGAGGTCGTATCGCGTCTAGCTGAAAGAGAGAGTCCGAATCTCCCGATGGCGTCATCAAACGTGAGAGACTTGCTGAGCCACTTTGTGTGCAAGTGTTCGGAATTCTACCCAAATCAACCGAAGAGTGGTCGCTGCTTTAGCCGTAAATGTCTCAGTAAATTGAGAATTGCGCATGTTCCAGCGCTGAAGAAAGAACCTGGTAGCATAAGACCATGGGATGGTTTTGTTCATAATGTCAGATGCCTGATTGGGCTCTGGACCTCCACCAATTCAATTCATTCGTGGAGCTGTTACGATAGCCAGAGTTTTGGCTACTACTCGCACTATTCCCCCGTGAATCATTGGATGCTATTCTACGCTATGCATCCTAAATGACTGTATTTATCTCTGTTAGATTCTTGATTTTTAATGGAAAGTTTCATCTGCAGCAGCACCCGAAATCGCATGACACCCTCTGTAGGAACAACCATTCACAGCTTATGATGAACATACTTTTCCATGTTTCGGAGCTCGTTGTTTAAAAGACGAGCTGTCAGGAGTAACGTGATGTCAAAGCGTCCGGCGAAATATGAAATTCATTTGAACAGCCAGATATAGTAGTTTCAAATCCCCATGGAAATGTGCATCCCACTTTCAGTGAATAACTAACGATAAATTTTTGAACATGGGGTATACCCGAACAGCCGATGCGTGCTGTTACGAGTGGTCTATCTGTTGCCCAGAAGAAAAACAAAACTTTCCACTAGTTTGCAAACCAGCACAAGTTCTTATCATCTGATTTCCGGTTACTCTACACCATAAAAAATATGAAAGGACGAACGACTAAACTGCTTGGCAGTTGTGCCCTAAATCATATTTTCAAGAGACAGCTCAGGATGCTAATCTTCCCGCTGAGTAGTGGTCCTCAAGGTGCTGTCTAAGCTGAACATGATGGCTTTATGGCTGACCGTAAGCATGAGTGCGCGCGTGCACACTGCCTGTGTGGGCAGTCTGACATGCGCTTACACGTCCGGGTGTCGAATACCGGTGCTCGCGTGCTTGCATTTGAGTGCGCATCTCTGTCTCTCCCAATTGGGTCATTGTTCCCGTGATTTATGGTCCATAAAGTCCACCACCCTTTGTTATGCACAAAACACTCGAGGATATGGTATTCACAAGCTCTGCTCAAACAAAATCACCTCCACGGGACGACAGAGGATGGATGTGAGTCAGCACACTCACAAGCACTCACTAAGCCTTGGTCACAAGGCATGCAGCCAAGTTGAATACGTGTTCTGGTCTTGATGAGCCCCGTATGATTTACCATCAACCTGATGTGTTCCAGAAAGCAAATTACAGGCGCTTTTGGCAAGCACAGTTGTGAGTGAGTTTAATTTGTGCTCGTCCTTGTAATTGCGAGCTGAAATTTCACTACGGCTGTCTGGAACTAAAAAACGAGGTAGAAAGTAATAAGTATTTTAACCAGCGTACATAAAGAGCGCTTTCGTGTGGCACTGAAGTTTCTGACAAACTAAAAGAAAGCGTGAATTCGCGCGTACAATTCCCATTGGCACAATACCCCCCCCCTCATGTAAAGTTGTGGAGATACGTTTACAACGAAACTGCCGAGCTCAATTCATTCCGGTGAGCCCGCACCAAAAAGTAGGATCAATAAACTGAAACGTTACTCTTGTCATGGTTCTTCAGTGGATGGCGCTTACAGTCGTACCAAAAGTTGAACTGTGAATCTTCAAGATGTCATTACTACAGCTGCATATGGTCCATCTGTATCATTACGTATCCACACAACATAATCAAAATCTGAACTACACAGCCGTTTCACCTTACCCCTTGAACCACCGTGCAGTGACTGTCCTTGCTGTGTAGACTGGGTCACTAGAGCTATGTCTTAAAGAGCAAGAACGATGGTTTCACCTGCACTTAAAAGACGCAAAACTGTTTGAAAATGTAAAGAAAAGTCCTGGGGTGACAGTGAGGAGCTCCTACTTCGTGGTTTGCCCACGAGTTTTATACACCCCAGGCAGTGAAGTCATTTCGTTACCTTACGAACGTTTGTTCGGAAAATTCAGGTTTAATGGTATACCTGGGATGATAGTAGTTCGGATGGCTGTTGTTCCATTCACCGAGCTTGAAAACTCGCTCGCAGACTTCTCGTGTGGACAGCATGAGCGTATGGCTGGGTGGGTAATTATGTCTCCGCAATTGGTGAGAAAATTTTCGCAAGCAGACTCAGCGAAAAGATCAATAGCTACCTGTTTGAAAAATAAGTCAACTACCTAAGCTAACAATATTTAGATATACTGTCAATACGGAAGACGGTATTAACAATAATTAATTCTTGATCCTGTCAATACTATTAACACACCGACGTAGTAACATCTAAATTTTGCACCACAACTTGATTCGAAATGCCTGCTGCCTCAGATCAAACTCCGAACCCTGATGAAGGTGAAATGAATGCACCTACAGAAGCTTACCACTACACCACTGCTGTGGGGACGGGATGCGTCCGTTTCACTGTTTTGCGATAAGGAAACGAAGCATTCGCTCGATTCCCAACTGTCTTGTTACTCGAAGGCGAAAACTAGTCGGAAAGTGAATGAAGTTAGATGGTACGTTCCTTGAAAGTGGCCGTGCTATTTTTCTCTCAGTATTCGCTACGGCTGTGATCACCTGCATCTGGATAAAACAAACCAATACACGCTACCCTCTTTTATGCGTAATATTTGAATTTACCTATAGGCAGTCGCCCAACAGGACAAACTATATTCGGCCATTTTCCACAAGAGATTTAAACGCCTGGCGAAAAGCTCAAATTTGACTAATTTTTGGTAGAATTGCTGTATGTTGGAGCACCATAAGTGATGGTATTTGTGACCTTAATAATCTAGAAATCGGCTTGTTGTATTGTCTCCCTCACTAAACGAACCCACAAATGAGTGCGGCAGAAAGCTGTTATGTGAACCAAGCACACCAAGCAAGCAATTTAATGTTGTCAAAACATTGGAACAAATGTCGCTTTCATTTGCTCATTGGGTGACAAAACTTCAGATAAGTTACAAAATTTTTGACAATTTGACTTCTGAAATAATAATCAAAACTCGCACGACCAAACCATGATTGTTCTATGGAATCAGAGGTGGATCATCGATATCAAGCATGGATTTAGCTGTGCAACGTTTTGATAAGATCGACAGCTGACAGTTATGGGTTGATTCTCAGTGATTCTGGTTCCTTTGATCATTCTCCTAACGTTAAGATTCTTCTGGAGGTGGCCTACATTTGGTTCATTGTGAAACAACCGCAAAATTAACCTGTACAACACTTCAACTCACGACACTTTGTGCCAAATGTGATTTACCTAGTAGGTAGTTACACTATTTTGAGAAAAATTCCAGTACAAAGGACTGAAACGAAACATAAATAATAGCATTTCTCCACAGAGGCATTCTGTATCATTTACAGTGTGAGGTCCAACCGGTGTGGTTAGTGCAACTAATGCGCCTCATGGCTACGCAGCAGAGCGGGTGGTCTTTTTCACGTAATATCTTCAATGTTACTTACTTGTTGAAGGCATAAATCAGACAGTACAAGTGCACCGCTGTTTGGGAAAGAGGCGGTACTCTGAGTGTCGACTTCGATTGGTTTACCACCCATGAGATCCGAGCGCAAGAACCATGCATTCTGTTTGATTAGTCACGAATTTTTTGCAAAGTGGTATGAAACAGATTGGGTGCATGAATTATCCTTCAGAATATGTCTTCGCTGACACCAAAAATTACAGCAGAACGGTACGAGAACAAAGATAATATTATAGTCCGATAGTTTTACATGTAAATAAAACGACGAAATCATTCTTGCTATTTGGTCATGATAGAATGGACGCTGATTTTTTTTCAGGACAAATTTTCTCGTCAAACGCTCCCTTTAATTTATAGTCCCTTTGGATCTTTAGTGGCCATACAGTTTCAACTTGTATCTCACTGCGGTATGTTCAACGGGGGAAGGGGGACTGGAAAATTCTGCGCCAAACGTCCATATGGTCACGTTCACCTTCCCGTTCTATGAGACAGAGTCAAACAAGACTGCTAATCCAAGAACCAATGTACGGGTGTTCCATCCTTGTTGAACGCAATTAAGAGTTGCATATCTCGACCACCGTATAACAGACCTTAATTCACATACAATTTTTTCAACAAGTGGAAGTTCACTTGATCATCAATGTGTGCGGGAAATGCAGAAATTTTGGATCGGTGATCAGCTAACGGTATGGTAATTGGACCCCCACATGTATTCACACGATGATCACGTGTTACTTGGCTGGATAGAACTTATGGTCGTTTGCTGATTCTTGCTTGTCAGCTGGAATCTACGTAGTAAATACTGTAATTTTTTCACCCTGAAGACGAAAGAAAGGCATCTACTTTTTCTTAATACGCTGTCCTCGGCAGCGTAAGGTGTGGTCTAAGCGATTAAAGCAGATAATGGTCGGAATTGTTTGCCTTGAGGGATGTTTACCATACACTACACCGCTGAATGCGATTTTTTCGACCAAAACTCCTCTCTCGTTTTTTGCATTTTAATTCATAACTCTCGGATTAAATCGGTGTGGTTCCCACATCACTGGGTCAACTTATCGTCAGATTTAAACCAGGGTATCAGTAAAGATGTTTTGTGAAGTCAAAACTTTCTGCTCATTCCTATTCATTTTGAGAGAAAATGCGATGCCCAAACAAGCAACTTAATGGCTTGTAGTCTTGTTAGTCCATTCTAAATATCTGAATACCGGACACAAATAAACGTATTCCAAGCTCACCGCACGTGACCACCGCAACAGTGTGCGTCACTCTCGAACTGCTTTGCCTCCTTTGACTCGGGTCTTCACGTCATTAGGATCTCAAAAATGGTCTGTGTGCATTCTGTGCTATTTGCCAGATCTCTAGAGCTTTCATGCTGCCGCACTCATAAGTAAAGTGAACGGAAGTAGATGATTTCTAGAGAAGATAACGCACTCTTCGGTGGGCCCAGACGATGCGCTGCGTTAGATGAACCGGTGCTTTCCTCTTCCATGTGTGTAACGACCCTCACTCCTTAATCAAGCGCTCAACTTTGCATGGTAGTCCTGTTCTAACAGTACTCTAATGCTGCCGGGTATGCTTGATGGTCTGTGAGCACTCGTGCAAATCAACCCTCTTCCAGAAGTTAAGTAACCTGATTGACCTTCCTCATTCCCAGCGTCCATACTTATGTATGGTTAATTCATTACCTTCCCATGGAAAAATCTACCAAGTTTCCTGACAGTATGATAGCTCGGTGAACGTCACCCGGGCTATGAATATTACCATCAAAATTAAATCTTCTGTGGCATCATAGTGATAGGCAAAATGGCGAAAAGCCACAATCCCTCAAACATGACTCACAGGATTAACACTTGTCACTAGGATGTAAAGTAGAATATCAAGACAAAAGAACTGATACAAGATTAACGCCGCTGAGCTGCATCACATTTTTGAGCCTGTATAGGGATCCGACCTAACTGTATCAAGGAATTATTTCGACACAGTTTGCCCTCGTACCTGTTCAACACTATGGTTTTCCACTTGTGAATTGCATGGGGTTTCGCGGTTTCAACACGGTCACGTAATTTATACCAAAAAGTCTGCTTCTCAGTGACCCGACAATGGATTCGTCAGGAAGGTGGAGAAAACATGTATGCAAGGAAAAGCTATCTTTTCGCTTCGTAACAGAAGCCAAGACTTAATAATAAAGATGATATCAGTGCCTTCTGGAGCTGTGCTATTCACTATCAGGGAACTTCTCTCATCCAGATACTCCAGATACTTTGAGCTGTTTAAATGACTTTGGTACTCTTAAAAGCGCCCATCTCACGCTGTACCTTTCAAGCCCACCGTCTCCGCAATGTTTTACTGCAAGTAGTGAAGGATCAACATTATTATTTCGAGGCCTATTGAATTTCAACGCAAGCGGTTAGAACCCAGTTTTGTGTAAGAACAGATTTTTCTTAAAATGGAGTAATCCCATTATGATGATAAGTTTTTACCACGTATGTAAACTTTAGCCTTCACCGACGTCAAACTGACATGAAGTAAGAGGGATTGCTCCCTGGATTGTGCATTCTTTGCGGATTGGTATTTGAATTCCCGATCAGTTCAATATCGAAGGCCTGAAAAACGACAGTCACTCTACTTCACAGTACATACAATTTTCGTTGAGTCACTATAGAATTGTCGCTGCGTATTTGGTTTTCCTACCGTTCACAATGTCTGATAACCAGATGGTGGATATCAGGTTGCAGATGGCAGAAATTTAATCCATTAAAAAAACCAGAAGGTGGGGAAACCCTGCTGGTACACCAGATTGGCTTCCTCAACCATTCCACGGCCAATTTTTCGCGTTTTGTTTCATAGCCTCCATCTGCTTGGTTAACATCTGAGCAATAAATAAATGCCTTGGAAAGGCACACCTTACGCACTGGTGCGTGTGCACTTTGTGTTCTCTATTGAGATATACTTCGGTTGCCTGATGAGCCTGAGCGCAATGTATGCATCTTTTGCTTTCCATTTAAGCTCCGCTAGACCAGATTTATGTTTTGCAAATCCTAGAATGTCGTATGTTCTCAAAATGTTAAAAAAACTGACTCGTACAACTGTCGCACTACGTTTAGTACACAGAAGCAGTGTAGTTCGTGTGCAGCTGAGATTTCACCGGACTGCTGCGGTAGAGGTGAAAGTCACCGTAATGCTTTGGTGCGTTTGAACTACAGTTTGCTTTGTCACTAACCAGCTTCTTAGTTTTTGAGATACTTCGAAAATCCTATAGTGATATCGGTGTGTATTTGGGGTAAAGGGTTTTCACAGAGGGTCAAGGATCTACAACTACTTTGATAATGTGGGTCAAATTTAAAAGAACCGTAGGTCAAGATGGTTAATTCACGTTGAAGCTCGTGAAAAAGGTTTGCACAAAACCGGGCGCACTGGTGTGCAAAATTTCTACCTGATATTCTGTTCCTTTTGATGGTTGCCCATCCTCAATACAACAGTTTAGAAAGTGAACCTCAAATCGATTTATCTCAGTGCTTCGGTCAACAATATTCCGATTAAACTAGGTAGTTTGGTGACCATGGTCTTCCAGCGATCTCACTTATCAACACCAAACCACCGCCTGAAAAATGTATCACGAACTTCTAAAAGAAGAGCCTGGCTCGCCAGGGTGTTTGAGGGCCAGCAATGGTAAATGCTGTCCATGGAGCGAATTTGAGCTGATGGTTTGGCTAATCTTACGTGAATTAAACTCACCATTTGACCTTGGAAACAAGACGGCAATTAACTGAACAGGATGACGAAAGAGACGTTCGGACATGCCAGTTTCAACCCAAGATTGAAACCATGGGGCGTACTATATAGTTGATACAATGTACTTCCGTAAATCCAAAAGTTACATTGTAAACCACCAAAATGCAACCCAAATAACGGGCCTAGCAGAAAATCCAGTTTGAATATAGTTTCAAGAGGGGGAAAAACATACAGCCATATCCTCAAATAATTTTGTAGCGAAGAAATTCTATCTAACAGAACCAATTTTGTGGGCATTTTTGGGGAACTGGCACATATCTACACTCTGCCCTTATGAGACTTGCTTCTGTTGGCGGGTGAACTTATATCCCCGGCGTTTTCCTGGGCGGAAAAAGAGACCTACGTTTTCGAATCCTTAATTTAATCGACGTAATTTATGCACAAAAATCACCTCAAGCAGAACAGTATGAAGACCTATCATTCTACCGGAGAAGCTCAATACACCTTCCCTTTTTTGGCCTCCATTTAGGAAGGTTGATATAGTGTTACTAATCACTAGTCCAACGATTTCTCATCCGGTATTGTATGGAACTGACCGGTTTCTCAGATGACTTACTCCTAAGTTGACGTATAGGATGATTACCGTTATATAGCTAGTGTTGAAAATGTCGAAATAAATCTTTTTTGCACCTGAGTTGCTGTCTATATCTGCTGTGGGTTTGGAGTAAGCTTCATCATAGCTCTAGCATTAGCCCTACTGTTCAGATACTCCTTTCATTTTGAATCATTAACGATAAAACTAATGTGATGCTTTGCGCCGATCTAATGGTTTACCGCCGTAAGAGAATCCTTTTGAATAACACAAATTTATCGAAACACACTCATTTGCACACCAACTTAGTTTTGCGGGAGATTCACCTGGAACCCAGTCAGATCCCTCGTTTATGAAGTCAAAACCAAGCTTGCATACAAATGATTGTATTTCACTTATTGGGTGCTATTTGGGTTCAAGTGGAACACGGGGTTGACGGAAACTCGGGGACTACGTCAACCTGATAAGCCCCAAGAAGGGTGCAAGCGGTCATGGGCTTTCGATGAATTTTCAGCAACCTTATGGGTAGTGAATTACGCTAACACAAATTTACTTCTTACAGCGAAGTTTCCCAGCTCGATATGTGAGACTAGGGTGTGACCATTATGTTCGGCATCAAATAATTTCCGCTGCTACATAGTTGCAATTGTCATGGCCGTCTAGCATAGCCGGAGTGCATTAAATTTAGCCTACTTTGTCAGCCTGTACCTGTGGTCAACTGTTGGTCTGACAGTTGACGATGAAAATTCAGGGCAAACGCCATTAAATTAATGTTTCTCAACAGCCGACTATTTCAACTTCCCAGAAAGGCCCTGTGGGGCAACAAAAGGTAGTTAGTTAGACAGTAGGAAGCGATAAGAGATACAACTATGTAGTAAACAAACCTAACCGTTTAGTTAATGCAGATGACAGTTAGCGTTTTTGTGCCTTCATCGCGTTACCTTAAAAGGTGCCGTGTATAGGTGAATCTGCCTAATGTGACGAGCCTTTTATTCATAGGTTTGTAAACAAGCTGGGATGGTCTAGGCCCGATCGTTACTGATATGCTAACTAACCAGGGGGCGGCGGGTTCGGAACTCCGCGGAGTTTCTTGAGATTTGTACCGTTGATGATACCCAATACAGATTAAATAGATCTGCAGTGTTTCTCAACTTTTCAGCATAGACTAGCTTCACTTACACGGCGAAATAATAATTGATGATAGTCTTGCGCTGTTGTCAATATACATACAGTCATGTTCCAAGCCAGCGTTGGTTTGCTAAACAAACTTGATTAGATAGCTTATTTTCATAGAGTAGACCTTGATGAAATCATCTCGGATACACTATATAAGTGTTGTGAAGACAGCTAACCATATTCGTGGTCCGTGGAACACATGTGATCATTAAAAACAACTGGCTAAAGATATTCTCACAAATATCCCTAGTTGGATAAGATGCCCTAACTGATTTTACTTGGTGGACAAAACTTTCAGCACAATTTTAAAATGCTTCCTTCTGACTAGCAAAATTGAATTCCAGGATCTACATTCGCCGATCGCACTGGCTTTTTTGTAAACAACTGTTTATATGAACGGTCGCCACTGTGAAAGTAAGCAATATTCCTTTACTGAAATTACATACCGAAGCATATTTGATGGAGTATACTGCTCCGAACTCTTCTGTAGAATGGTCTCACTCCAGCGAATCTCTGTTCATGGGCACAACGTTTGCTGAAAGGTTGATGGTATGCGGCACAAATAGCTAAAGGGAGACAAACAAAACTTTCTCAGAGCCACTGGTCCAAGCATTGCATACAACTTCTTCCGGTTTGTGAAAGGTGAATGAAGCACTTAGAATATCCTCCCCACAAGGAAATCAGATAGAACGTTTAGAGATGAATTTAAAAGTGGTCAACCATGAGAATCTGTCACAATGAATCACATCAAGACTGGAGACAATCTTTTGTCTGTTTGGCCAATCCAGTATGTGGTGTTGATAGCTCTTTTATGATTCTTGTGTCAGACATTTCGTTGTCCATCCTCACTCATCGGAACAATGTGTGGAGTGGACTTGGATCCACTTGACTTTCGACACTTTCCATAAATTCCCCATCCACTCCAACATGCCAGTCTACCATCACTTGTGTTTTGTGGGTTGTAACTACAAGCCGTAACAAGTTGCCAAGCTTAGCAGAACACATTTAGGCGGTCCACCAGTAACTGGGCAAAACCTTCGGGTCGGCTGCTACACCCGTCGACCGCGAACACCGACACGTTGTGATGCCCTGTGCCTTGTAGACAGGATTCACACCCTTTCAGACAATATGGAAAGTTGTCTCGACGTAGATTGGAGGCCGCTGGCAAATTTACTAGCACCGTCCTAACAGCTTTGATTTTGTTTATTTCCTCCATCAAAAAATAGAATTTATCCGATTCACTGAAGAAGCGGATGGGATTTACCCACGGTAGCCGCAGCAACCCACTCTTAACGTGACTCATAAACTGTGCTTACAGCTGGTTGTGTATCAACACCCAACTTCACATTCCACACTAGCACGCCCTAGGGCGCACAGAAAAAGTGATAAATAACGTGTGATGTGCTCATACGGCTTTTAGCATACCTCAGGAGATTTATCGTTTCAAGCGCATGGGTTGAATAGCACGGTTATAGGGGGCAATGATTTGCTGGACTGGGACACCAGTTGTACGGCCAAAAAACTCAACAAAATATGTAAGGCTTGAGTCATAAATTTTAAACAACAACGGCTGTAACAGTTCCGGGCACAGAAAGCTGACAGCTGCACACGCATCAGAATGTTCAACCAGCTGTAAATGTTATCTAGCCACAAGCGACCCTGGTTGTCATTGACAATACTTTTTCTGGCACCCTCAACAGAGAACGTTGTTTAGAGAAAAAAACATGAAACCCAGAGAGTTCTATGAAAACAATACGAGATTTGGCGACAAAAGTTGGGACATTTCACGGCATCATGAATTTTTCACCTACCACTTTACTACACTAACTTCAATACTACCAGCACAAGTATTTTATAATCCTCAAAACTTCCATATGGAAAAGGTTGTAGGCGTTCAACTTTCAAATTATAAAATTCACCAATATGTGCTACTTAAGAGGCTGTTAGATGCAAGAACTAAAACAACCGTATTTAGCCAAAGATATTTATTGAACAGGGAAGATATTGAAGTCGCGGTTGTGCGTTCTGTGACCAAATCACCCATCTCCTTGTTCGTTTCCGAGTGTACGGACTAGGGTGAGTAAACTCGATCCGATTCCGACTCCTAGTTGTTTTTTTTTAGTTGAGTGTTTCAAGCATACAGTTTGAATCACCCGAGACCAATAATATTCCGCAACCTGCATTCTCACAATCATGTGGATTCAGGCAGCTGTGAAATTGGAGGGGTAATAAAGAGGAAGTTTATAGCTGAACTGCCCAACTGCTTTCGAACTAAAATTTAGATGATCTCGGTATTTAATTCCATAATATGGCGGAAGGTTTCTAACAGCAGACTTGTGAGGCCGACTTTTCACTGGTGTGGTCAGTATGAGGCCGTGTGTGTAACTGCAAACTGCTCTGCTATTTATAGTTTATGACTGTTTCGATGCTTTACACCCACAAAAACCGATGAAATGTGTAAAAAATTCACGACACTTCTGTATACATCTTTACGAGCTTGCATAATGAATTTTTCACGGCTCCTTCAAGAATTCTCCAGGTTCAGTTTCCTGCTTGGCATTCTGATTTTATCGGTTCTTCCGGGCATTTTCTGTTCCACTGGTCAAGAGGTACCAGTAGGTCAAAACTTCGTCCCTTACTCAGAACATTTACAATATCTACATGTATATACAACCTTAAAATTTGGAATTCATGTATACCTGCGATATCTCTCTGAAAAACAAGGAGTCCATTGTACAGATAGCAAATAAAACCGACCAGATAAAGCTGGTTTAGAGGATGCCTCTCTTCACAAAATGATTCTAGATTTGAAAAGCCAATGGTCTGTCTAGCCTAGCTTTCTAATTACTTTTTCTGGATATTTCTGTCCAAAATCACTCCCAGGCAACTCTGTGTGATACTGTAAAGCGTAAAGTGTAAAGAGTGTAAAGTGAAAAAAGCCTACCGGAACTGTTGAGCCGTCGAAGGCACCCAGCACTTCCTCTGTGAAAAGCTGGTGGGTAAGAAAGGACGAGTGACAGATTGCGCTGGCCTAAACTGAAGCAGGCAAGAGGTCAGGACCATGCGCCCCAAACCCTTAGCCATCTTTTATCATGGAACCCGTTCGAAAATATAGTTCGATTGCACTGAATTGATTTTATTCAGAACTACGCGGTGCTGTTTATCTCCCTCAGATCTCCGTGCTCCAACTGCCGTAAAACACCCCGAAATGTTTGGGGACACTTTTATACCGCAGAATACTTTTCCCCATGGTGATCCCCACACTAGGACATACAGGTTTACTCTCAGAATCTGCAAACTCATTCCATGCACTTTTGACGCAGGAATTTAAGTGATGTTTATAGTAAGCGACTGTCAGCATGACTGGAGCACGACGACCCATATTCGACCATGCTTTGTTCATTTCATTAATTATTCGGATGGGTTTTAATGACCGCTAAGATCTCCAGACTGTTTCCCCGGTGATGATGCTTGCTGCTTGTCCCAAATGTAGCATCCTATTGGTGCTTAACTGCTGTGCCAACAGAGGGACGCACGGGGGCTTGGATACCACTAGGTTGCTCAAGCCTAGACAGGGCAAGTCGAGAGGCAGGAGTCAGGTTCGAACCACGTACCTTCCAGTCAGTAAATTCGCGCTCTAACCACCAATAGTGCTGGTCCATTAGCGGTATCTGAACATCAAAAATTTGGCTAGAACGCACAAAGCCGAAGTGGTTGGTGACATTGCTTTCTGATTGGAAATTATTAAAATGGCGGAGGGATAATTTTCAACAGAAGTGGATTGAATTACAAGAACTGGAAATGAATCAATGGATCTATATTTACTTTTTGTTCTGGTGAAAATTTTTCCATACCTGGTGCAACTATTTTTGTTGAAAAGAGGAATTCCCGATGGCTTTTGACGTCATTTGCATGAATAAATAGAGAAAACAGCAATGAAGCAAAAAAAATCCAGAAATGTTGATTTTCCAGAGCTGCACCGTCATCATTCACTAGCTTTTGGATTTTAGTCGGAATGAATCTGGATTTGGTTCTCCATATCCAGTCACTCGACTGTGAACGAAAAGTCCGCTGGTTAGAGCGATTTCAGGAAGTCGTTTGCTCACATATTGAATTTGATTACATAGGAAGATAAATATCCAGCGTCCATATTTCTTCAAGTGTTGCACAGACCCCGCTTTTATTGTTACTTCATTTGTTCCTCTCACTACGCGGATCTTCTGCTCCTATTTTCCAGTGTCTGGACGTTTGCCAGTGGCCGCGAGCTCAAACTGTTCAATGTAACGAGACTTGCAAGGTGAGTTGTGAAACGGACTGTCTTTAGTCGTTAGCAGAATTCTGCGGTAAGGTATTCTCGATATTCTCCGACTGCTTGCGTGAAATAATCAGTCGTTCAAACTTCAACGACGAAACGGCGACTAAACTCTGACTGGCTGAGGACGCGTTCAAATTTCGAGTGAATTCTGATCAGTTTTGACAGTTTGGAGCTATTTTTTCAAATACTTTCAATTACCTTTCAAATGTTGCATAATTTTCAAGAAGTTTTAACCATAGTGAGATAAAATGGAAAATAACCTCCAAACAGTGGATGACAACCTTCAACTGAATTGAAATTAACTTACTGCCCCTTGAAGAACTGTTGCCACTTAATGGATTTTCCACCTTGTTACTTCAAGTGGTTTTATGAAGTACCTTCGTTTTTAAAAATACTGCAGCGAAAACCATTTTTCTTGAGTTTTTCTCTCCATGGATTACATATGATGATTACCAGAAATGTAAAGTTGGTGGTGGTACGAAAATTCTAGAAATTCCAGTGCTACGCCTCAGTTCTTGGTCACACATACACGGGCACGTGAACTTTGTTTGACTGCGCTCAGTATAAAATCAGCTCGGAACACCGTTCTATTTCAGTAGAGGCAGATACTATAACAAGCCAACATCTACCGTCTTTAAGCTCTAGAAGGATAGGCAATACAAGTGGCCAAGCTTCTGATTTGGACATCAGTAGTATTCCCACATTCTTTTTAAATCCCTTTGACCAATACGAATGCCAAAAAAATTGTTCACGAAAGTTATTAATTAGCATCCTATTAGGTAAGGAATATCTCCATCCGTCTGTATGTCTTAGACATTTGACGCCATCAATTGCTACACTAAACCCAAATACATGAGACGTGACAGAAGACAAAACGCCAGACTAGTGGCCTATAGACTATTTTTTGTCACACACCCAATCTTCACAAACAGGTGGTCTAGTTGCCAGTGAATTCTTATGTGTTGAGAGAAAGGAGTTTTGGTGCCCAAGCTGCTAGTCACACATTCGTACTGGGTGATTAGGCACGAACCCCAAACTTTCATGTGATGTATGAATGTAGTGAGTGATTTGGAAACCGTTAGACCTACATCGGAACAGCTACTGAACATCTGGTGTTGGCAGCACTCACCTGTAGCAGACGTAGCAGACGTTGCACCCAATCAGCCCAGATGTTTGCTTCGCCTTGTTTTTCAAAGCTAGACACCAAGACACAACGGATTTCGTCATTCGTGCAATTCACCTCTACATTCATCTTTTGGTTACGGAATCCCTCATATGTATGGATTAACAATTGACGCCCATGTTCAGGCATACGCATAAACTTCTCATTGATGACCATCCACTGAAAAGTCTAAAGCGTATACTACCAGAGAGCAGGCTGTCAAGGAAGGATGTAAAATGCTTTATGGTATCCATTACCAGGCGTGAATATCAGTTGGAGATTTGTAGCAAACCTTAATTCGCTACTGAGAACGCCACGGCAAAATTGCCTTTGTTTTGATTCCCAGGTGTTCCTTTACAAATGGTTCGCATCTAAACTTGATTGGTCTCTATCTGTTCTGTGCGCTCCTTCCCTCCTGCGCTCCCTTTTGGATGAGGCATTCAAAGGGAATGATGGACTGTCTCCTTGAAAGCACCATATTGCAAGTATAAGGCATCTCACACGCTGCCGCACTCAACCAGCGAAATGTCAGATGCCTGTGGGTGCTGCCGCACCAGCGAAATGTCAGATGCCTGTGGGTGTCTGCAACTACAGACAGAATCGTTTGATGAAGTTAGTCACTCAGACTGATGTGATGTGCCAGAAATTTTAAAACTTGAACACTTCGGATTGCAAGATCTGCTAGTATGTCAACACTGCCAACCTGGAACTTCAGGAAAAATGCTTCCCTGATCCATACCAATAGTATGGGAAGTGGCAGCGCTCAATAAATCACAGGGCAACACGCTCCTAGGTAAATATTTTTTAGAATGTGGTTCGTCTTCACTGAAAAACTCTTCCGCAAGATCTATATCCAGAGTCTAACAAAAAGAAACCTCTTGTCCCTTGAAATGTCTTTCATCCACCAATGTCTATAGCTTTACTGTTATTTCACCACAAGATATCAGGGTTGTCATCTGAAGCTGGAATATTTACTAGACATTTTAACATAACAATAAATTAGAACAAGTTGTCGCTCAAGTATGGATTAAATATTCCGAATACAGATGGCAGAATAAAAAACCTTATCGTGTTTCTGGTGCTTAGTACAGTATTTACTTGCAGCTTCTTCATATATCTGTTCCCTTTTTCCCTTGCTTCTTGAATATGGCTGGCACTCGTTTTCTAGTAGATGAGGATCAAAACAAGAGTGAATACTACGGAAGCTACCATTCAGCATGATAATGTCGCGGTACAAGGCCCAGTTACGTAAAAGAGGATCCACAGGTGTGTTCTCCAAAGCCGAGGCGCAAACTGATAACATAATGTCCTAAGGTCCTTTGCAGTTTGCAATCTACCACGACTGGACAATATTTTAACTTCAAAAGCTCATGTCCAGTACAGAACAAACGACCTTTTGCTCACAATTTGTGAAGCATCGCAAGAGCAATCCACGTGGTAGTTACACTAGATAGAGGACCGCAACTTCTCAGAAGCTCACAGCGTTTCAAAGAAAATCTAGGTAGTTTCATTTGGAAGAATTCTTATGCCAGAAGAGTGAAAGTGATACAAAAAACGGTCCTTAAACAGCTATTCTTTTCTGATAAAAACCCCGCGAGTTTCAACAATGAAGCTAAATTGTTGCACTATGGTAAACATACAATACTGGAAAACTGAAGATCACAACATACGAAAAATGAGTACTGTCGCAGTTCGTGAAATTTCCGAGAACATGTGTGTCCACTAGTCACTTTATTCACCGATTCAAATACAAATGCGCTGAATCTTGCTCAATTAGACTGTTAATCTGAAACGCGAACAACACAGCATGCACCGTGTCTTCACTCTTGTGCATGATCCAAATTTCGCTGCAAATGGAATAAGCCACAATACCACACCCTTCACCACTTACAAACTGATTTGGTCGAAAGATCCTGTCGAAAATGCACCACCTTTCCTCATGAGCTGGGCGACAAAGGCCCAATTTCTTTGAGACAGAGAAGAAAATTGTGATTGTTCGAGTCAGTGCATTCGGGAAGACTTGAGCATAAACTTTGAATGGTCTTGGCTTCCAGTAAGGCTCGCTAGGAGCTATTAAACTCGATAAGAAACTCCAACTTTCCTTCTTATAATTTAATGTTCTAGGTATATCGCCTTCTTAAAACCTGAGGAAGTATCAGCATTTCGCAAACCCATTAGTTTTCGTTGTTCCTTTTCAAACTGGCCAATGGTACGAAGTACCTCATGTCCGCGGTTTTTATTCAATTCAGAGGCTGTATCTCGTGAGGGGAATAGAGTATCACCAAATGACTGCGTATACTGTGAATCACCTCTGGTGGTCCACTGTCCATATTGTATTTGTCGGAATCAATAATGGATACTAATTTTAAAAAATGTGGATATGAAGAAGATTTGAAAGTGGTTCATCTTTACACAACTTGCAATTATAGCTTCAAGGAAGTCCGAAATCTAAGGATGCAAGCTCTGACGTGGGAGCATCAAACTGCTCAAACGTTTGTAGATCACGCGCTGACAAGCTGTACATACTGGTCAGTCCTAAACTTTCACATGGAGCGTAAAAATCACTTCGTACACAGTTAACCACAGCTCATGAGCCTGACTTGAATTTCATGTGGCCGTCCAGGTGCACTTTGAAATAAACGAAACCACTTCAGGCGCATCACCCTTGACACAGGCATAGACAGAGGCGTGTTCTGACAAGTCATGGGTGTCTGCAACTACAGACAGAATCGTTTGATGAAGTTAGTCACTCAGACTGATGTGCATGCTCAGAAATTTTAAAACTTGAACACTTCGGATTGCAAGATCTGCTAGTATGTCAACACTGCCAACCTGGAACTTCAGGAAAAATGCTTCCCTGATCCATACCAATAGTATGGGAAGTGGCAGCGCTCAATAAATCACAGGGCAACACGCTCCTAGGTAAATATTTTTTAGAATGTGGTTCGTCTTCACTGAAAAACTCTTCCGCAAGATCTATATCCAGAGTCTAACAAAAAGAAACCTCTTGTCCCTTGAAATGTCTTTCATCCACCAATGTCTATAGCTTTACTGTTATTTCACCACAAGATATCAGGGTTGTCATCTGAAGCTGGAATATTTACTAGACATTTTAACATAACAATAAATTAGAACAAGTTGTCGCTCAAGTATGGATTAAATATTCCGAATACAGATGGCAGAATAAAAAACCTTATCGTGTTTCTGGTGCTTAGTACAGTATTTACTTGCAGCTTCTTCATATATCTGTTCCCTTTTTCCCTTGCTTCTTGAATATGGCTGGCACTCGTTTTCTAGTAGATGAGGATCAAAACAAGAGTGAATACTACGGAAGCTACCATTCAGCATGATAATGTCGCGGTACAAGGCCCAGTTACGTAAAAGAGGATCCACAGGTGTGTTCTCCAAAGCCGAGGCGCAAACTGATAACATAATGTCCTAAGGTCCTTTGCAGTTTGCAATCTACCACGACTGGACAATATTTTAACTTCAAAAGCTCATGTCCAGTACAGAACAAACGACCTTTTGCTCACAATTTGTGAAGCATCGCAAGAGCAATCCACGTGGTAGTTACACTAGATAGAGGACCGCAACTTCTCAGAAGCTCACAGCGTTTCAAAGAAAATCTAGGTAGTTTCATTTGGAAGAATTCTTATGCCAGAAGAGTGAAAGTGATACAAAAAACGGTCCTTAAACAGCTATTCTTTTCTGATAAAAACCCCGCGAGTTTCAACAATGAAGCTAAATTGTTGCACTATGGTAAACATACAATACTGGAAAACTGAAGATCACAACATACGAAAAATGAGTACTGTCGCAGTTCGTGAAATTTCCGAGAACATGTGTGTCCACTAGTCACTTTATTCACCGATTCAAATACAAATGCGCTGAATCTTGCTCAATTAGACTGTTAATCTGAAACGCGAACAACACAGCATGCACCGTGTCTTCACTCTTGTGCATGATCCAAATTTCGCTGCAAATGGAATAAGCCACAATACCACACCCTTCACCACTTACAAACTGATTTGGTCGAAAGATCCTGTCGAAAATGCACCACCTTTCCTCATGAGCTGGGCGACAAAGGCCCAATTTCTTTGAGACAGAGAAGAAAATTGTGATTGTTCGAGTCAGTGCATTCGGGAAGACTTGAGCATAAACTTTGAATGGTCTTGGCTTCCAGTAAGGCTCGCTAGGAGCTATTAAACTCGATAAGAAACTCCAACTTTCCTTCTTATAATTTAATGTTCTAGGTATATCGCCTTCTTAAAACCTGAGGAAGTATCAGCATTTCGCAAACCCATTAGTTTTCGTTGTTCCTTTTCAAACTGGCCAATGGTACGAAGTACCTCATGTCCGCGGTTTTTATTCAATTCAGAGGCTGTATCTCGTGAGGGGAATAGAGTATCACCAAATGACTGCGTATACTGTGAATCACCTCTGGTGGTCCACTGTCCATATTGTATTTGTCGGAATCAATAATGGATACTAATTTTAAAAAATGTGGATATGAAGAAGATTTGAAAGTGGTTCATCTTTACACAACTTGCAATTATAGCTTCAAGGAAGTCCGAAATCTAAGGATGCAAGCTCTGACGTGGGAGCATCAAACTGCTCAAACGTTTGTAGATCACGCGCTGACAAGCTGTACATACTGGTCAGTCCTAAACTTTCACATGGAGCGTAAAAATCACTTCGTACACAGTTAACCACAGCTCATGAGCCTGACTTGAATTTCATGTGGCCGTCCAGGTGCACTTTGAAATAAACGAAACCACTTCAGGCGCATCACCCTTGACACAGGCATAGACAGAGGCGTGTTCTGACAAGTCATGGGAACTAACATACGTCCTGGCCGCCAGCTGACTGTCAAATCTATTTACATAGGACAGTTAAACAATCTGTGACAAGTTGTCGGCTTGAAACTGTTCTATTTCGTCTTGAAAAGCTCCGACTAAGACCAAAAGTTACAAACGTCTGTTTCTAACTGCTCTAAACGTTATTCAAACTCCGCTTGTCTCTCTCCCTCTCTGAGTTATACCTCGTGCACTAAAATAAACGAAATGCCAGCAGTAAATTGCTAGTGACTTTGTTCAATCTCGAGAACTTGAAAAGTCGCTAACAAAACTTCCAGGAACGTAATGTGCCTACATATGCGGCTCATTAAGCCGAAAATGGAT